AGACTCGCATTTTCGCATCCGTTATCATTATATATAAATATATTAGCAGTTATGCGTACACTGATCTCTCAAAGGAACCACTCTTCTGTACATGTTGCCATTAGAGCTCTCTCGAGCCTCCGTCGCGAGGTGGCTAGTATATAGGCAGAAGGACATTACCAGCAACGATTCGGGACAGAAGTTGGTGACCCGCTCGAGTTTCGAGCCCGCGGCCTTGTTAGTTGGTAGTCCAACGCTCTAACCACTGAGCCACGGTTTCGCAATCTTGTCGGTTTTTGATTGGGAATATACAGTGGCAAATAGGCGTTTACCGATCATTTACAGGATAAACTCGGCCGTCTATGTTGCCTTTGGACCTCACAGTTAAGCCGGAATAATGCTTTTCCTCGATGAAAGTTCGCCGATCGGTTGAAGTTCTTTACCTCTGGGCTTATATTGTGATTCTGATTTATACTGGTGCTCCTGGCAGCAGTATTACCTATACGAGTTTAAAAATAGTGGGCCGTGGGCATATCGGAGTGAACATTTCCCTAGTTTGCGTGTGTGCAGCTTTTGTGTTCCCACGCCATCAGGTCAGTCTATTTTGTGTATTCATTGGCTGAATAGTTGACTGGGAGTCAGGCGGTGATTATTGACTCTTACGCTAAGCCATGCAACCTAGCAAGCGCAGACAGATCGGCAATTAATAAGGAGGCAGTTCCATGTTCGCCCATCGCGTAGCATGCACAACAATGAGAATGAGTTTGTCCTAAATGATATTAGGCTTACACGGCATCTACCGCACTCTTTCGTGACCCTACAATGCATTGGACCAACATAGTTGCCAGAACACAATCAAGTTCAGAAAAAGATGATGCGATCACTGGAACAAGCCTGTGCAGCCTGTACATGTCTCCACCCCATCTGCGCATGACCATGACCATGTTATCATCACCTATGGTCCCGAGGGAATCCGAAACATCAGGCAAATAAAACCTTAACTCTTGTTCCAGTGATCGCATCTTCTTCTTCTGAAGTGCTTCCTGGGAATCGAATATTCTCTACTATTGACAATCATGTTCGCTTTGCTGGTCATGCGTACTCATTACAAATGCTTGATATGAGTGTTGCTCAAAGTTACATCGCGCCAGCAACATGTGTGTTAACTCGCCAAGGTTATTACTTACGCTGTCGTGGTATTGGACACAGGTGATTGAGGACCGATTGCGGTGGCTACTGCAGGAGTATGCTATCAACTATAAACATATATACTCGCAAGCCATCGCTCCTATGTTTATCCGACGGTGGAGGTTTCATTTTTTTACCTTCTCTGTGCTGTGTTTGCTGTTTGATTCGTTCGGTTTGATGCAGAATGTTTTCCGAAAGCTCAATTAAACTGGCCATTTTTTTGCCATTTTAACCGTAGTACCTTTTGCCTAACTGGGAAATAACGACGGCTTATATTGAGTTGAATATATGTTACATAAGTGCATCTTTAATTGCGATGATTCACTGCAAATTTGTTGCATATTTTTTGTCTTCATATGAGTCAGCCTGTGATAAATGAACAGCTGACTTCCGACTGTTGTCTTCTAGTAAAGCTTTTTAAATTCCCTTCGTTTGTCCTATGTGAGCCTCCATATTAATTATGAGCATGATGTTCTCTATCTTCTTTGTTTTTTTCTTCAGCTGTCTCAACTGAACTTCCGTGTTTGGTTGATTTTTGTGCACCGCGTGTTCTTAAAGTCATTCCTGCTCCCACGTATGCGCCTCTCTACTGAATCTACGATTGGTAGCCTTAAGTCCGACTCAGTATTAAGTCAACTTCTTTTTTTACACAAATCTCCACTCCCTATCTTTGTATTTAATTTATTCCTCACTGGTTGTTGACAGCTCGTCATAAAATTGAACTGTGTTTAGTATTTTAATTTGTTGTCCGCGATAACTTTTAATACCAAATCGGCTGTTATGATTTCGATAAACATGGCAACAAGGACAGAGGATTGGGTCCTCTAACAAATCGGTGTACGCGTATCTGCTACTGTACATCCCCAATCTAATAATGGCACGACTGCGCGCTCGTAGCTCAATGGTTAGGACGTTTGCCTCTTGCCGGAGAGAGACGAGTTCGAAATTCGAGTGTGGCAGCAATTTCAGTGGCAACACTGGAGTTGGCTTTCACTCGCTGACGACAGAAAATGAGATTCCTTGGATATGAACAAACGTTGCATTTGGCCCCATTCCGCACCTATTTGTACCCAGTATACTGTGCTGAACTGGAATCTACTAGAAAACAGCATTTTGCACCTCAACTCAACTCAATGAACTAATAAGCAACCTAAGATGTGTGTTGAATCCTCCACTAAAATTCTGATCTGCACATTTCGTCAGATATACTGTAGTTATGCTTATCACTGCACTCAAAAACTGGAAAATATTTAGCTGCCTGTGGGTACTTTTGGTTTAATTTTATTTCATATTTGAGTTTTATTATTCAGTTTATAGTTCTATAAAACTATAACTAAAATAAGATTTAAAAAGTAATCTAAATATAGTTGGCTTAAATTTTTATTCAATTTACTTTGCAATCAACACACGATTGCTTGTCAGCTTATCGTACTATACTATCTGTCTTAATGCATGAGTAGCTATTTTAAGTTTTAAAAAAATGGGTGGAATGGTCTATCTTTCATGGTTTTATGTTAACCTATTTAGTTCGATACAGAGTCGATATTAGCTTGTGGCATTCTTGCAGTTACGTTTGCACAGATTTTGTTTCGCATTGGTTGTATTTCTCGTTTTTATTTTGCTTATTTCAGTAATTATTTCCTTTAATTTTCTGTTTTCATACGCTGAACGTCTTGTTAATTTTTCCTTTCCTGGGATATGACCCAACCATAAAACCCCTATTAACATTGCGCCCATAAAACATAGTGATTGGATCAGCGATATCTAAGTACCTCGGCATATGGTAATGTTGCTACCACATCCTCCTATGCGACAACTTATTTCAATTTGACGTGCCCATCCAAACCCCAACATTTTTGGCCATGACAGCCGAAGAGAATCAAAACAGCGAAATCATAGCTACTCCGAGCATTTCAGTAGCCACGTATTAAGGTATCAACCCATTAGGCCTACGGGACCACTCATTATCCAACCCATCTTCACACTCGCCGCTTGTT